AGCTTCTCTGCCCTAGGAGCCTGGGATGGAGGCGGGGAGCTTCCTTCTGGGTGCCGGGACCAGCTGAGCTTCTCTGCCCTAGGAGCCTGGGATGGAGGCGGGGAGCTTCCTTCCAGATTCTAGGACCGACTGAGCTTCTCTGCCCTAGAAGCCTGGGATGGAGGTGGGGAGCTTCCTTCTGGGTGCTGCGACCAGCTGAGCTTCTCTGTCCTAGGAGCCTATGTGCCATTTATATAAGGAAATTGACCATATGCAAATTTTGGTGAGGGGCTTCCTGGAACCCACCCCCTGAAGATACCAAGGAACAGCTATATTTGCATCTTTTTAAGCAAAGAAAAACAGTATGTAGGGAGAGAGAAAAAAAATTCAAAATCCTATGTGTTACAGAGAATCTTTATTTTTTTTAATTTTTAAAGCTTTTCTGCTTTATTACTTCTATGGTTTTAAAGTTATATATAATCTTTTGGTACAGGGGATCGAACTCAGGACCTTGCACTTGTGAGGCAGGTGGTGGAACCACTGAGCTAAATCTCTGGCCCTCAAAGTTATATATAATCTTATAGTTGAGGAAAACCATTTAGCTATTTACTCTTCTGAACCTAATTTAATCAAATAGTTAATAAATTCCAGTTAACCAAAGTCCTGAATCTTTCTTCTAAGATACAGCAAACTTTCTTTTCAGCATCTACTTAAGATTATTCCTTGGCTGTTTAAACTGTAGTTTACAGCTGTTCTATTTTGAAACCTAATTTTATTCTGGCACATATTTATGTATTCAATGTTAAAACCAGCACTTCTATAGTTTATATTTGATTGAAAACATCATTGTCTTTTCTTTCAGAGACAATTAAAATGAATCAAATACAGTTTGTGTATGACTATGTGTGTGTTTACGTATGTATATATATGTATATATTTAATTTGGGGGGGCAGTACTAGGAATTTAACCCAAGGCCCCTGCACTGAGCTACATCTCCAGACTTTTTAATTTTTTTTGAGAGAGGATCTCACTAACTCTTTAAAAGTTTCCCAAGCTAGGCTTAAACTTGTCATCCTCCTACCTCTCAGAGTGCTGGATATACAGGTATGCAGCACCATCCCTGGCTATATCCCCCACTCTTAAAGTGTTGATTAACTCACATTATAATAATTAAGTATTGTACATGTATGAGAAGTTGCTACCCTGCAATTATATTAAAATGTGCATGTGAATTCCAATTACCATAATGAAAATCTAAATACAAGAAATCAATTTTCAAATACACTTACCAGGATGATTGGAAATGGGAGGCTGGAATGCAAGCTCATTGTGAACTGGCCCTAAAGAAAAGACAATAAAAAATCCCATTTTTATTTATTAAAAGTTTTCCAATGTTAAGCTTTTAATATACCTTACTTAAATATAACTATCACACCTACAACTTATTTAGATCAAGCTTATGCAAAGTCTAAGAACTTAAAAGCTTAGTTTAGATTAAGTATTACTTTATAAGTAAGCATATACTCTTGAATTTTATGGCTATCTAATAGCTAACATTTTAGTACTACCAGCCAAGGGCTATTAAGCAATTTACAAATCATTTCCATACAATATTTAATGCAAGTTATAAATGATTTATAATATAACATGTAATACAGTATAATTTATAATACAATATATAAAAGTAATTTAAATTATTAGGACTATTCTGTTTATTAAAGGATATTTATGTAACAGAACATTACCTAAAATACTTAAAAGTTTATGTGTTAAGACACAGTGCTAAAAATCACAAATTAATTATTACATTCAAACTTATTACAAGACAATATATATACTGGTAGCATGATTCCCCCCCTTGGAGTTTGTATATACCCACTTATATAACTAGAAGAAAAATAACAAAGTATTAAAAATGACTATCTCTGGATGTTAGGATTCCAGGTACTATTATTTCTGCTTTTCAGTATTTTCTAAGTTTTCTTGATAATATTAATCTTCAAATGAGAGGAAAGGTATTTTACCTATATGGAAGATTTATACTCCTTTTACAAGCCAAATGAATAATGTTCCTATTCTGCCTGAAACTACAAGCTATGTGTAAGGTAGCACTTTCAGTTATGCCTGCAGAGAGCACTGTTAGATTCAACATCCAAGTATCTATGGCACTAAATATTATGGTAAGGGAAATCTTGAGATCACAGCAGTCAATGGGTTTCAATCCTCTATGAGTGGATATAAAAGATACACATGAGATCTAAGAACATATACAAAAACAAATGAATGGAAATCAATGTGATGTTTATGAAACATCAGCAACAGAGAAATAAATGTATTTAGTAAACACTCTAAAATAAAGGTATAATAAGTATAAATAAAAGTTTACCAAAAATAGTGAATAAAACAGTGAATATTTAATGAATATTTAATGAAACTAAACTGTAGGATGAATAAAAATAGAAAAATAAGTCTTTTAAAAGAAAAGACCTTACAACAAAAAAAAGAGCTTACAGTAATGTCCAGGATGGGGCGGCATAGGCGGGTGGTGCTGAAGATGGCCGTTTTGGTGGTGAGGCAAATTAGGTGTGTATGGTGCAGTTCTACTTCCAGTCCAGGTGGTAGTGCTGTCTAAAAATTAAGGCCCACATGGATTAATTTGCTTTTATAAAGGCTGCCTATTTTTCTCAACTCTGTAAAAGGTTTTAAAAAGCATGTACATACTATGATGGTAAGTAGCTGGCTGACCAGTAAATCCATTCTGCTGCTGTCCTGGCTGAGGCCCTGAAGCTATCTGCAACAGTCCTTCACTATGGCTGCCTGCCAGAATACTGGCAGGCTGACCTAGAGAAACAAGAAGACATTAACATAGTACATTATAGATGCAATCCCATCATTTCTTACAGTAGGTGAAGGACCAATTATATCTGATAATACGTAACTACCATACAAAGATGAGGCAAAAGTGGAACTCACCCACTGCCTATCAAGAAACTAATGGCATATTATGAGCCAACCCTTAACTTGAAACTAAGTAAATGTGCCTAGTTTTGGTGGCCTTTTTCTTTTACAAATATTTTCTTCAAATGCCAGCAAAATTCCATACATATCTAGCTAATCAAAACAAATTAGAAGCACATCAGTTCACCCCTGGCCACCTTACACAGCTCTCCGAACTTTTCTTACTAAAATAAAACCCCCCAAAAACACAGGCTCAAGAAAAAGTTGAAAACTAAAAAAGTTAATTATTATCAGCAAATGCTAGGGTTTGATAAAAGCAAAGCAGACAAACACATTAAATAGGAGGTAATAGGTAAGATGAGAAAATTTAAAAGATTCAGCTCCACTGTGCAATCATCATAGCATTTGTTTTTTTTAAACCTATCAATCTACTTTGAAATTTTTTCATATACATATAAAAACCTAGAATGATGTCTTTTCAAAAACATCATATTCCCAAATTTATGTAAAATCACTTGCCATCTCTTCATGTAATAGATCAAGAAGACTAAGATTCCTCTGGCTTTTACCTTACTCAAAAAACCATTCTATAAAAAAAAAAAAAAAACAAAAAAACCATTCTATGATATTTCTTACTGTCTCGCATTTTTCAGGCTATTTTTAACTGGAAAAGGATTTTTTCTTAAAGCATTAAGTTAACTTGTTTATCCCATTTAGAAAGCCCTGAGATACCATAATTGTTATCTGTCACTGGCATCACCTAATTTTTTTCTCACCTAAGTAGGAGTGTAATCAAATGGAAGAGTAAATGTCACCATTGCTCAGAGTACCAGATAAAAGAACATTTCTTTCCTCTCTATATCTCACATTTCTTTAAAGCTAAGAGCTGTAAAAAAGTTAAAGAAAATACTTCAGCATCCCCTAAGTTAATTATTTATAAGATGCTTTTATTTATTTTATTTTTTTGGTACCGGGGATCAAACTCAGGTGCTTGTGCTTGCGCAGCAGGCGGCGAAACCATATAAGATGCTTTTAGCAACTTCCCTTCCTACTCATCCAAAAAAATTCTACAAATTATCTTTAAAGGTTAACTACATTTTTGTTCGTTTTTAACACCTGTACATTCTATATATACTTAACTAATTTACAGAGACTATCACTACACAGCAGAAATTAAATGATTTGCATTTACACACACAGTATTTATAAAGGACCCCCAAAGACATTTTGTGCAAAGACATTTGTACCAAAATATGAATAATTTATAAAGTGACCCACTGCAATTATCTGTATTGAATAGTTCCATTACATAATTCCAAGACAGTTAATATGAAATCAGCTCATGTAAAATAACCTTCTAACTCCTCTAATTTAGTCCAATTTCTTTTCTTGCTTTTATATATAGATTTTGAAAACTAAGGGAATACTTTACCACTAGAGTTCTAAAACATACACTATTTATTATTCAATTATAGAGATCTATCCCAAAAAATAACAAGACAAAATTAAATACATTTCATTCATACTACTTCATCTGGTCTAGGATTCAGCCCACCCATGAGAACAAAACAGTCAAAATGAAGTCACTTTAGTAAGCATTAACAAAAACACAAAAATTGAATCTCCAGGTAACAAACAGAGGTAGATGGCTGTGTTCTAGCACTAATCTATGCTCAAGTAGCTGTCATCTTTCTTTTTTAATGGTCCATTAGTACTCATTCTGTTTATCAACTATAGTCTCAAAATACAGACAGATTACAAAAACACACATAACAAAAGCACCAAGTGGTTAAGGATTCTAAAGTAAATCTATATGAGCCACTTGAAAATACTCTATGCACAGTGAAATTGTCACTTCTCATGAAGCAAATCAGAAAGGTATCGGACAGTGAAGCTGTGATATGCTTGAGCTGAAAACTTACAGAAATCAATCTATTTATTCCAAAGATCAAAACATCAATGTTGAAACTGACCTGATATTAAAGTAAATAGAATAATAGTTCCTCTGGTAGCAACTACCAAAGAATCAGTCCAGATCAGTAATCTACTGCTGATACAGGCTTAAGTACAATCTTTTTATCAACCAGGTACAATTAATGCCATACACATACCAAAACAATGCTATACGATTCATTTAAAACAAAACACTACTCTACTTGCCAAGCACCAAGCTGTTCAACCTTTGGTGACTGAAAATAAAAAGTAATACAATGACAAACAGGTCATACTGTCTTAAGCCCCAAGAAAATGTGAACCTGGACCCAGAATGTAACTCAGTGGTAGGGTGCTTACCTAGCAACCTAGCCATGTAAAAGCCCTGGGTTCAATCCCAGCACCAAAAAAAAAAAAAACCCTGAATCTAAGAGCTCTCTGTTAACTCTTCTACTATGGGAAGAACTTTTTTAAAACAGACTTCTCATTTAAAAAAGAAAGAGGTTAAAAAATGAGAGAAAAATGTAAATTTTTGTTTTAAATAGTATCTAATTTGGGGGGGTTCATGTAATAAACAAGTTTGTCAAGATCCCTTTGTTCCTAAATTTGCACAATGGGAAATTGAGATGACTATTATAAAGTAATATTCTCTCAGATAAACCAAAATAAGAATACTGGACTAAAATAAAGACTGCAATCCTATTAACACCAATCCTTACAAACCTGATTTAAAACTACTTGTTCATTATTTAAATATTTCTCTACAGTCTACCTGGAAAACTTAAGATACTTCTTTCTTCTGCATGTACTAGTAAATAAAACACAAATTAATCATTAAACCAATATTATAATCAAAGTCATTACTTAAGTCCAAGTGATTGTACATCAATATAAGAACCTTTAAATAAATCATAAACACTATTTTCTCCAGGACCAACTCTAACACCTATGTCATGGTTTTTTTGGCTACCTCTAGAGCAGTGGTAGTGAACCTATGACACACGTGCTGCAGTGAGCTACTGAAAACTCTAAAAGGTGTCCCATCACTGCTCTAGAGGCTGGGGACATGTGGGCCCAGTGGTAAAGCACTTGGCTGGCAAGCACCAGGCCCTCTGGGTTTGAATCCCCAGCAAACATACACACACACACACACACACACACACACGCGCGCGCGCAGAGGGAAAGAGGGGGGAAGGGAGGAGATCAGAGGGGAGGGAAGGGGAGGAGGAGGGGGAAGGAAGAAAAGGAGAGAGATGTAAGCAAATTTATTTTTTACCTATGAAAGATATCACAGTACTTTCAATTTTTACTTACTTGGAGTTTCTACCAAGTGACTACCTATAAATATTCACTGATTAGGAAAAGGCAATTTGCTAATTATATTTGAATACATAACTCACTTGTAGAAGCCACAGGAATGTTGGGAAAGTTTGTGGTGCTGGTAGCATTAGACTCAGATGGGGCCAACAGAGCTGGAGTGCTGTATGTCTCTGCTGATGCACGATTACTTGGTGGATGCTGGATGGTTTGAATTGAATGTCCTTCAGTGGATAACGATGGCTGTCCCTCAAAGTCATGAACATATTCATCCTTCACCAACATACTTGGTGGAGCTATGCAGGAAATGAAACATATTTTAAAACTTTATAAGCTTCTATTCCCAGAAAAGAAATCTTACATGCAAGTAATATGACAACATCTAACATCAACCATATTTGAAAGCATATTACTTTATCAGAAAAAATTACTTAGCGACAATAGCATCCGATATATTTTATCAATGTGACTGAATGAAATTTGAAACTGGACTATATTCCAGTACCGTCCAGAAAAAGTCCTAAAGAGGTATTTATCATAGTACTTTCATAAGCCTACAAGTATTATCTAAGTTCATAAGATGAAGTGGGCAAAAATCAAATGTCTGGCAAAATATTTTATTGAAAAGACCAAACAGACAAAACTAAAACTGAATATATAGTTTATTTGAATTTCACACTATGGAGATATGAGTGGGATCTGACAACTATCCATTTCCAGGATCTAGAATTATTAACCTAATATATTCTTTGAAACTTAACTATATTAAATGTCCCCTACAGGTTTAGAACCAAACAAAAATCCTAAAAAGGTCAAACTGAAATTTTCTTCTAGAAATCTAATCCAAATAAGGATGCTCGATAAATATATGAAAAAACTCAATAATCAGTATCTTTCACATACATGCTTACAGTTTAATAAGCACAGCTAAACTTTAGCTGATAAAGCATAGTATCACTGCATTAACAAGTTAGAGAATAGTTTGCTTCGTTGAAAAAAAAGGAAACTGAACTCCATTCATAATGTTAGTTTTCTGCCTAGGACTTCCCCAGTTGTTTGAGTGCTATTGTTTTAGGGTTTGCTTTTTACCTTTAGCAAAAAAATCCTTTATTCTTTCTGAACACTACTCCAGAATTTTACAACCTACTGGATTCCGGTATTAGAGTCCACAAAGACATTCATTCCCCTTTCCATTAAGAACCAGCACATCAGCTGGGTGACATTGTGCATGTCTATAATCCCTGTACTGAGAGGCTGAAGCAGGAGGATCACAAGTTCAAGCTCAGGATCAGCAACTTAGTGAGAACCTGTCTCAAAAAATTTTAAAAGGCCTGGGTATATAGTTCAGTGCAAAAGCCCTGGGTTCAATCCCAGTATCAAAAGAAAAAGGGGAGGGGGAAGGAGGGAGGGGAAAAGAAGAGAGAAATAGTATCACTTCCCTTATTTTTCTCTATGTAGATCTTTGGAGAAAAAAGCCCTCACACATAATTATCAATTAGTTACATGGCTATTTTTTACTAAATTGAGACAACTCCAAAGCAGCGAGAATAATCCACTAAGTTTCTATGCAACCTTCTAAAATTTTTCTCATGCATCAAATTCTACTCCAAAGTTTGTCTTCAGAAAATTCTAAAGAAACAAATAGATCATCAAAAGGATGCTTAACAAATCATTATATACTGGCAAGAAATTAGTCCTAACCATTCATCATTAGCATTAACTAAATTATAAAAATAATTTTAAAAAAAGGTTATTTCAGGCATAAAGTGAGTATGTCTGCATTTAATGTTTTTTATTATAACCTTCAACAAAGTTCTGAGATTTTCTTCATTATAAATCCTGACACCTCTATTTAATTCCAGGACATTTTAGGGTTTTTGTTATAGTGACTGAGAACTTTTTACCAATATATTGGTGATGCTAGTGTAAGGATAAAGCTACTGGTTTGAGAATATAACTAGCCAACTAGATACTTACTGCTTCTGCCTTTCAGTTGACTCTGAAAGGGCTTAAAAGGCAGTCACAGCTTGTCCAAGTAACAACTGTTTCCTACTTTAAATAGCCTTAGAAATTTTCATTGCTTTAATATGTTGGCTAAATTTCCCCAAATGGAAGGTTGGAACCTCTACCAGTCTATGGATCTTTTTAATAAAATAATCTGAAGGTATCAACAAGGATAGAGGTCTACAACATATTCTTGCCAAGAGAATGAAGCAAGTTACAAAATATTACTATATACTGTGGTCATATGCATGCTTAAAAAAATCACATATTGTAAAACCTCAAGGTCCAGAACAGTGTGCACAGTATGCATTTTGTGTAAGAAAGGAGGGAAATAATACATGTATCTTTTGCATAGAGAAACCCTGGAAGGAAACACCAGAAACTAATAAAAGTGATTACCTGAGGTAGGGGGAAATGGGGGCAGGGGTGGGAGCACTTCTTTTCACTGTATACCTTTTTATAGTATTTTGATTTATGGACCATGTATTGCCTATTCAAAAAAATAAAATTAAAAAAACATATAGTATATATTTTTTAAAGTCTAAAAAAAAAACAGACACCAAACTGTTAAGTATTTCTCTTATGGGCTAGCATTCAACAAATTCATTCATTTAAAAAAATATTTATTGAGCACCTATGTTCCAGGTACTGTTCTAGCGCTTGGGATTTATATCAATAACAAAACAAGTATGTCTGACCTCATGGAATGTAAGTCTTTTGTAATTTTTCCCTGTTCTTTAAATATTTAACAGCAAATACATTATTCCAACTCCTCCCAGCTATCCTAATGTTGGGCAAGTTCCTTAACCTCTCCATATCAGTCTCTTCATCTGGTGAAGTGTGAATAATCCCACCTACTATGTAGAAGCCTTGTGAGAATGTTGACACCATACTCATAAATCATCTAGCTTAGTACTTGACACATAATGAGTTGTCAGTAAAGTGTTAGCCTTTATTATTTAAACATTTTTAGAACAGTCATACATATACAGTGACTGTAAATGTTCTATGAAGGGTAAAGAATGTATGCTCCACAGTTGACAAAAAAGCTGAAGGCACTGGGCTTACCCTCAGTCTATGTTATCACTACTAGCAGTCAGGCCACAGCACTTGTGTGATGGTGCTATTGCTTTCTTACTTTTCCTTCTCCCGTCAGATTACAAACTCTGAATGGACAAAACATCCCTTATTTATCTTGGTATCACTAGAACCTAACAAAGTACCAGAAGATACATGCTCATTAAATATTTGTAAAATAAATACACAGGTCAATGTGGTCATGGAAAGTTTCATGGAAAAGGTGAGATAGGCTGGAAATGATTACTACAAAACTCCAACTCTCCAAGTGAAAGAACCATTCCATTTTCTTAATTTTTAGTTACCTGGCCTTGTCCAAATCTGAAAGGATCTGTGAGAAATACCTGTTTTCTAAGGAAATAACCCATTCAAGACTGCCTTTATATAACTACCACTAAGGGGGCCCAAAAGGCTGAATATATAGCCTTAGAGCTCCTAAAGACAGGTTATCAAACCCATCAGTAACAAGTACTTTGAACAGCAATAATTTTAGAATAGGGAAAAGTACAAGGAGCCTTCAGAATTTGGACCTCTCTCACAAATACCCCTATAAGGTATTAATACAGTACTTTTTTTAACCCCTAATACCCCCTAAGCTAAATGCTTTATTTCTCCCAAAATAGGGATGGAGAATGAATGAACATCAGAAGAATGTTTACTTTCAAAGAAGTGACAAGATATCAATGTCTGTTTGGCAAAGAGGCAGGCTTCAAGCAACTTTAAAGCTTCCATTCCCAGACCACCATAGCTCCCATTACCAATGTGCATTTCTCAGAAATCTATGTTATCATTAACAATGATGTGCCCAAGGCACTACAGTCTTCCTCTATTATGGGAAGATGGAAGAAAAATGGAGACTAAAAATGTAGGTTTGCATGGTATTCTTAAGGTCACAAGGTATTTGTGGTCCACCTCTAAAATTCTCCGAAGAGATGCCAAGCCACGAATTTACCACCAGAACAGCATACCTTCCTATAGTAAGATGATTCTGATTATCAGAGCTTCCTGAAAATTAATTAGTTCTAAGATTTAATTTCATTAACAAGCTCTAAGAAACAGAGCTAAAGATTTAATAGAACTCCATTTTCACATATTACACTAAAAAATAAAAACACACTCCAGTGGTTTTCTCATTTCAAAACATTTTTTTCTTAAAGTTATGTTTTGTTTTGTTTTGTTTTTTTGGTACCGGAGATCGAACTCAGGACCTTGCACTTGCCAGGCAGGCACCAGAACCACTGAGCTAAATCCCCGGCCCTTTTCTCTTAAATTTAGATCAGCTGTGATAAGCATGTACTTTAAAATAGCCATGTTTTATTTACTTGAAATATAACAAAATTGGAAAAATACTAATACTTTTAATTTTAAAACATTCTCAACATTATCATTAATAAAAGTAAGCCAGGGGCTGGGTATGTAGTTCAGTAATAAGAGGCTTGCCTAGCATGTACAAGGCCATTGTTCAATCCCAAACCCCCAACACCACCACCCCCCACAAAAGGTAAGGGTTAAATGAAGAAAAAACAGAATATTCACATTTTTCAAGGACATGTTACCACACATTGCAGGTACTTACACCCATTTAAATTGGCTCTGTAAGATTTTCTTCCAAAATAGTTTCTATCAATATTTAAAATATTAAAATGAATATCATGGTAGTGGTTTTGGTGCCTACCATATTTTTTAGAAATCTTTAGTTAATAAATGGAAATTCAAATCCAAACAGCCAATAGCCAATTTAAGTAGTTTTAAATGCTGATGAATACTCCCAAAATAATCTACATCTTCAAAGTAATTTTTCTTGTTAACGTTACCTATACCTATTTTTACGTAATACTTCTATGTGAATATACACACACAAAATTAGATGGGTCAGGATAAAAGAAAATAGAGAGTTACAAGAAACATTTTACCTACCATTACTCTGCAGTGTTAATCCTGAGAGATCTTAATTTTTTAAAAGAGGGGGAGAAAAAAGAAACATGAATCATTACCATGAACATATCTTCCATTACATTTTAAATTACAGAATATAAATTCAAGCCAGAGATTATAAAACTTCATGAACCATTTCACTTCAGGAGAAGTAGCATAATTTTCATCTAACATATGTAAACTAAGTGTTAATATCTATAATGTTTTGCATCTTATCCTTCAGAAACAATGGTGCCAAATGGGCAAAATATCAATTATATGTACTTAATTTTAGCAGTCAAAATACAAGTTTGTTTCCAAGTTCAGATTTAAATGCTTATATTTAATTAAAAATGTCTGATTCTTTAACATTATTTGAAGTCCCAGGTAACGTCCAAATATATAATTAAATTTAGAAAAATTAAAACACAACTGGGGTCTTTTCCCTTTATGTGTCTAAGGATAAATGCAAACTCTACTTACCAATTCCAGGTGATACAACTCGTTCATAGTGATATGGATTCACACAGACACTATCACATTTTAAATCAAATGCATACTGACAATATTTAACGTGCTTCAGTTCATTTTTGTGAAGATCAGGCCACCTCCACAGTCGGGCATAGATCACATGAGGAAATCCTTTCCGACCAGCCACCTGGGAAAAATAAACAGCCATTTATTAAGCAACAATGGTGTGTCAGACATTATGTATGTTCTCAATCCTACAAAGTCAGTTTTTGTGATACTGTGAAATACCCATTTGATTTTGTCCTCATTTCCTGGCATAGAACTCCTAAAATCTTGATTCTACAAAGCTACATACTAATGAGTTCACTGATGACTGACAGCCCCTAGGAAGATTCAGGAGGGGGGAGTAGTCATAGGAAAGACCAACACAAGATCACTCCTCAACCTCCAGGAAGAAGAACAAGGCTCACACAGAGCTGATGACCACTGGACAATGATTTTATCAACCATGTCTACCTAAGGGAGCCTCCATGAAAACGCAAATGAGCACAGCTGGGAAATCCCCAGGAGATCTGAACAAGTGGCAGTTCCTGGGGGGTGGCATGCCTGGAGAGAGGCTTGGAAGTTTACTTCACCCTGAACATCTCCATTTCTATCCTTTGTGATATCTTTCATAATAAAATGGTAAACATGTTTCTGTGAGCAGCAAGAGCAAATTAATCAAACTCAAGGAGTGGGCAGAACTGAATTTATACCTGGTGTTTAATAATATGGGGGACAGTCTTGGGGAGTAAGCCCTCAATCTGTGAGATCCAACACTATCTCTAGGTAGACAGTGTCAGAGCTGAATTGAAGTGAGGACACCTACCTAGTGTCCCCTGCACAATTCCTTGCTTGGTTATGGGTATGAAGAAATGTTCACATCTTTGGGGTCACAGAAGTGATATGTGTCGTAAGCATATACCAGGAAAAACTGAGTTTTAAGGGCTTTTCCCCCTCCATTCAGAGTACTATAATCTCTATTCTACAAACAAGAAAATTAAAGCTCAAAATAACTAACTTGGCTATCATCATATTAGCAGAACTACAATTTGAACCTAGGTATAATTTTAAGGCCTGTACTGTGACTCAGGTTCTTAAAATGCAAAAGGTATAAATCTGTTATAGAAACTATGCCTGAAATCTAGAAATTAAATTTTTAAATCTATAACACAAGATCTCTAAGTTTCTTCAAACACAAATGTATTACATAGTTCTACATGAAAAATGTGACCAGTGAAATATTTGGTATCAATGAAATATTATTATCAGATCTCTAAATCATAAAAGGAGCAAGTATAAACCAGTTTTTTAAATGCATATACAATACCCTCCCCCCAAAAAAGAAAACAGGCTACAAGGATGAAAGTGCTGAAGGTTGCTCTATCAGAGTATGGAGTTTCTTATGTCTTTTATTATTTTCCAAATTTCTTCACTGAACTATTTTTGAGTCAGAATATCAAAAACTTCGGAGATAGATCTTTTGTATGTTTGTCCATGTATTCCCATAATGCACACTGGTACAGAATGTACCGTATCTAGAGGCAGAGCCTGCATTAAATTATCCTATAGTAACTAAAGGAGAAACTTAACATTTTTTAATCTGCCACCACAGAACACATAAAAAAGTCTACTGTAACACTAATTTAAAGGGCTAGGGATATACTCAGTGGTACAGCACATCCCTAATTTGTATGAGTTCCTGAGTTCAATCCCTAGTACTCAAAACAAAACAACAAACAAAACAAAAACACTCACCTGAAGCCTTCCATCCAATGTTCTCTGTATGGTAACACATTTGCTAGGATGAGCTCCATTTGTAGTTATAGCTGTTATTAAAGAATCCAATTCATCTTTTTTCTCCTTCAGCTTCTTTACTAAACTTTCAATTGCTCTTTTTGCAAATGTTTCACTTTCTCCACCCTGTCTATGGCACATCAAACTATGTACAATGCTCAGGCAAGCATCATTACTTGTTGGTGTATTCGTAATAGACATATTGTCCATTTGTTCAAGTTTTTTCTTTTAAATCAATTGTGTCACCAATCTCCAGAGTAAGTCTGATCTTTTTGAAGGCAGTAAAAAACAACAGCTAATGTTGGAAGAAAAATTGTTAGACATCTGGTATTCAGGATAACCTAAAAGAGAAAGAGGGAGAGAGAGACACATATATAATGAGAATACATTTCACAAAGAAGATTCATTTGTGAGAAGATAAAACTGCTATAGTCAAGTGACTCAATGCACATAGTTAAAAACTGATGCTTAAGAGTTTAAAAAGACTGAATTAAAATGGTGCTGTTCTTGACATCCCAGAAACATTAAAGTTAGGCCTTCTCATTTAGTACAAAGGCACACTCAATCAAGTCTTAACAACTGTACTATTCATGCTAAAGTACAATCCTTACCTTGGTTATTTCTGTCTCAACCTTTCTGTTCTCCCTGCCACTGTTAGTTCTGAGCCTTCTTAGAACATATATCAGCCTCCTGGTATTTAACACTTATTTTCCACTAACATGATCTCTTAAATCCTGTTTCCTCAACTAATGATAAGCCTCACAGAGAGGAGCAATTTCTCCTATGTCTTTCAATATTTATTACATGCCCACATTCAATAACTGTATGTGGAAGGCACACTTCACAAATAATCAAAGGGTTTGGAGTCAGAGATGGAGATTAGAATTTCAGCTTTTACAGTAAGAAGTTAGCCAAATAGTTACTGAAACGCTGAATCTGGAGTAAATAGAGGATATGCAGACCTCCCCAAAAGAGAAAATATAAAATGCATTGCACACAGTTTTCAGTAAAGTACTGTCTAAATACTAAGATATTGAAATTGTTTTTAAAAGATTATCCTAGGACTGGGGATTTAGCTCAGCAGCACAGCACCTGCCTGGCAAGCATGAGGTCCTGAGTTGATCCCTGGTACCAAAAAAAAAGAAAAGATTATCCTAAAACATGGATTTTTCTACATTTTATCTTATTTAAATTTATCTAAGAAAATGTAAGAAGGCAGTGACAGAACTACTGATTCAGGACTTAAAACTCACAGGCATACAAGAGGCAGGTAATTATACAAATAAAATGTGCCAGGTGTATTGAGAAACACAAATGTATGCCCTTCTAAAGTGGATAGCTACTACTCACTTTCAGAAGTAGCATCTGAATATGCTAGCCCACTCACTGCTAATACTTCTTCAATTCAAAGGCAGCAAGCAACTAACGAATGATCATAGACATGTGCTATTTCACTTTTAAATATTGGTGATTTATTTGTGGAGAAAAGAAAGAGGGAGAGGAAGCAAAAGTACTACAAATAAGAAAGAAAAACCACTGTGCATGTCAAACAAAACACAAGTTTAACTCGAATCTGACCCCCTCCCTCAAATTTAAAACACATCTCCCTTATAGTTTAGCACATTACTTGATTAAGTATTTGTTTCACAAATCTCAAAGTTGAAGAAAACAGCAAAAAAATCCAAACGTTCAAAACGAAAACAGCAATTCAAATCTAGAAGTTCATTAAAGCAGCAACATCCTCATCACAGAAATTCCCAGCATCAGAGTTCCTGACATATACCAGAAGAGTGATTTTTTTAAATCAGTACTGAGGATGGACCACAGGGCCCTGTGCATGTAGACAAATTGTCCACCACTGAACTCCATCTCCAGCCCCACAAATACTATCATTAAACTAACACTTTCTGATATTATATTCCAAAAGATCTGTACTAATTTATAACAGAGTTAGAGTGTTTGAGTACATCTATTTCACCAGAAACTGAACTGTCACCATCTCTAAAATTTATGCTGGGCGGGGGCTCTATTATCTCAAAGGCTGTTTAACCCCAAATTTCTCTGAACACAAATAAAAGTGACATTGCTTTATTGAACACAGCTTACTGGTAGTTGTAGTCCTATGACCATTAGTACTTGAAACATAATTTACGGTTCCCTATATTAAAAAAAAATACCAACAGGGATATAACAGACATTCCTATATTAATATAGCTCTGGATTACAGAAAGATGGTAGTCATAGGCATGCTATAAATAAAATTGTATGTTCCAATTAGAGCTCTAGATGCATGACTGGAACCTGTTAACATCTCTCTCAATTGTCTCATGTATAAAATGGGACAAGTATCTGCTTTATACGCTTAGTGTATTAATCAGATACAACAGTGTACACAAAAGTAATCTGGAAACCATACATTGACTAACTCAACAAACACTGTATCTATCATGTGCAAAATACTACAGATGTAAGCATACAATCGGAAAGTGGTACTCAATCTTATCAGACCAACATCCCTTTTCATAACAAATAAACCATCTCCTTAGCTATCCTGAAACAAAATCCTAACTTACACATTTTTAAAATTTAACAGTATCCTAACTGTAAGATCAAGGACGTAAAGTTTAATGTATCATAAAATGTAAATTTTAATATATAAATGACCAAGCCATACTAACTAACTTAGAATGCATAATAAAGAAGTCAGGGGAAATTAGGAATGGTGGTGCATGCCTGTAATCTTAGTACTTGGGAGGCTGAGGCAGGAGGATCACTATGAATTCAAGGTCAGCCTGAACTACATAGTGAGACCTTGTCTCAGTAAAACCAAGAAGAGGCCAGGGATTTAGCTCAATGGTTCCAACACCTGTCCCACGAGCACAAGGTCCTGAGTTCAATCCCTGGTACAAAAAATAAAATAAAATAAAACCAAGAAAAGAAAAGAAGTCAGGAGTTAGCGATATAGCTCAGTGGTAGAGTACCTGCTCAGCATTTGTGAGGCTCTAGCTTCAATACTCACCACCAAAGAAAAAAGTTTGATGCTTACATTTTTATGTAGAATTATAAATACAAATTCAGATCTACAACTACAAATTTGTTGCCTTGGCAATTCCAACAGCACAAAGGCATGTTAGTGACATGGATTTTCTCAAATGGTGAACTCTTAATAAAGTTCCAAGTAAAATAACCAATTAAACTGAATTAAGTGAAATTAATTTCTAGAAAACTAAAGAAGATAAATAGGAAGGAAGAAAGAAAGAAGGAATTGGATTCTAGGCTAATTATATATTTCCTTCCTTCATAAATTTCTGGAGTATTTTAAAGTCTTGTGGGATGCAAGGAGATTCTGCTGTCTCTTGCAGAAAGGCATCCCTGGCCCCAACCCCAAAGTTCTTCTCACAAACTTCTGCGACACCCTTTAAAGTACAGTTCTTTCTCCATTAAGAATTCCTGATCCTAGCTGGGTATGGTGATGCACACCTATAGTCCCAGCTACTCTGGAGGCTGAGGAGGGAGAATCACTTCAGTCCTGGAGTTAAAGACCAGCCTGGAAGACACAGCAAGATCTCATCTTTAAAAAAAAAAAAAGAAAAACTCATCTAGAAAATCCAAACATATTATCACACTAAGTAGTAAATGTTAAAAGATGCAGGTAGTGAAGTGATTTAAAGTGATTTGGGATTACAAAGGAAGGTGCACATGAAGTCCATAGGTGAGGTAAGTCTTGGCACAATGTATCAGTCAGGGCAGGGTCAAGCTTTTAGAGCTTTCAATAATATAAACAGTCCACTGCAGCACGTGTGCCATAGGTCCACCACCACTGGTGTAGGCTATGTTGCAGTTACAATCAACCCTCAAATTTTCAACAGCTTAAAACAAAGGTTTATTTTCTGGTTAAGCTATTTGTTCATCACAAATCAACTGGTGACACTATTCACTGTCATCTCTTAGGGACTGGGCTGTCAGAGGCTTCATGTCTACATATGTTCTTAAACAGCAAGGGGAAGGGATAGGACAGCTCAAACACTAGCAACGTCTAGACATTTTTGATAGTCATAACTGGAAAGGCAAGGAGGGAAACTGAGTACTAGTGGGCATCTGGAAGGTACAGACCAGTGCCACGGCTAAACATCCTGCAATAAACAGGACAATCTTTCAACACAAAAAATTGCCTGGCCCAAAATGTCAGTAGTGCCAATGTTCAGTAATTCTGGGCCATGCCTCGTTTCAAGGGTATGTGGAGGTGAGGGAGACAAAGAAATGCCAGAGGAGCCACTAAACACTGGTAGAACAAAACTAATGACTACCATATGTGAATAACAATTTGCTGAACTGAAGGAAATCCACAGGGGGGTGGGAATCAGAGAGGATTAAAAGTCAAAGATTCTGCCTAGAGTAGGTTCATGTTAAGAAAGACAGGAGAGGGCCAGGGATTTAGCTCAATGGTTCCGCTGCCTCCTCGTTGCCAGGTTCCGAGTTCGATCCCCAGTACCAAAAAAAAAAAAAAAAAAAAGACAGGAGAAATAATAGCATTAGATTTGTAGTAGAAGCTTCAGTGAGCACATGAGAATTTTGGGAAAAACAAAAAAACAGAACAAGATAAGACAATGAGAAAAGTGGTAAAGGCCTACTTCATCACTTTACCATATTAAGGACAGCAGCAGGGGAGAATCGATGAGATAGTTACAGGTAGAACAAACTGAATTCTATAATCAAATAAATAAGGGGTGAAAAAGGAAAGTCAAAAGATGACCAATTTCCTAAAAAGGTTAACTGAATGATGAAGAAAAAATAAAGGTTTTTTAAAGGCGGTTATGTAACAAATTCAGTCTTATTTAAGCTGAGTTTGAAGAACTTAGAGAAGTTAGACCTATTTGAAAGTCATCTACATAATACAGGTATTAGACAAAGTCATGATAAGGATTAACAGGAGGTCAAGTCAGCAAATGAGACAAAGGTTTGTTCTTACATCTTGCTATTGTATTTTTCCTTTAGCTTTGCTATTAATCATAAGCTGTCACTTCTTGTAAGCCATAGGTATAACAACAGATCTATGGACTACAAAGTCAGATAAGCAAAGTCATTAAAATATTCCCTAAATTAAACAGGATGAGCATGAGTCTGAGAAGCTCTTGTGTAAATTCATAAATTTTAATGAATGTTGACATTTATCAGATGTTAGTTCACTTTTGAACTATTAAAGCTCTCCCCAATTCTCAACCTAACTACCCAGAGCCAACCCCTAGCTACATTATTATCCTACAGATGGAAAAGAATCCAAGGCAGGCCAATGATACAGCTCCAAAAAATCTGATGGGATTACAGGAGCAGCCTAGAAATT